TCCTCCTCCTCCTCCTCCTCCTCCTCCTCCTCCTCCTCCTCCTCCTGCTGCTGCTGCTGCTGCTGCTGCTGCTGCTGCTGCTGCTGCTGCTGCCGACGTCGTCACCGACGTCGACGAAGTCGACGCGGACGAAAGCAGCCCCCCCTCTGGCCGCGAGGTGCAGAGTGACGGCGGAAAGGGCTGGGAGCGCTCCGCACCGCAGCAGGCGCACAAGGCACGCCGCCGCCCGTCTTGCAGAGCCCTGGGCCGCGCATCATCCGCCATGCACGGCGGCAACGACGAGGACGGCGGCGGCGGCGGCGGCGGCGGCGGAAGCGGCGGCGACGACGACGACGACGACGACGACGACGACGACGACGAGGACGAGGACGAGGAGGAAGACGAGGACGGCGACGACGACGGCGAAGACGCCGACGACGAACGCGACGACGAAAGCGACGACGGCGGCGGCGACGGCGGCCGCGGCGGCCGCCACGACGCGAACACGACCGCGACGACGACGACGGCGGCGGCGGCGGCGAGACCAGTAACGACGACGGCGGCGGCGACGACGGCCGCGGCGACGACGACGACGAGGACGAGGACGAAGACGAGGACGGCGACGACGACAGCGAAGACGCCGACGACGAACGCGACGACGAAGGCGACGACGGCGGCGGCGACGGCGGCCGCGGCGGCCGCGGCGGCGGCCACGACGCGAACACGACCGCGACGACGACGGCGGCGACGGCGAGGCCAGTAAGGACGGCGGCGGCGGCGACGACGGCCGCGGCGAATGCGGCGACGACGGCGACGACAACGACGAGGACAGAAACACCGAGGAAAGGGGATGAGGGGGGGAGGCCACACATACGAGGCGAGGGAGGAGGGAGAAGGTTCAAGAGGGCGTCGTCGCCCTGGACTGCATCGTCGTCGTGTCGTCGTCCTCGGCTTCGCTCCTCACGGTCCTTTCCCGCTCCCCACGCGCTCGTCCGTCCTGACTGCGCGACGAGGCGCAAGCGCCAATGTCGCCAGCGCGCGATAGGTCACGAGCTGCGGCACACAGCCGCACACATCCCATCCCTGCATCCATCCCTCGTTCCTCCCTCACTCGGCTATCTTCCTCATCCTCCTCATCCTCATCCTTCTCCTCCTTCTCCCCCCCTCATCCTACGTTTCCTCCTCGTCCTCTGTGTCCCCATGCGGCCGAAGTCGGTGGCGCTCGGCGGCCAACAAGGAAATCCGCCCCTCCAGTTGGAGGACGACACGCCGAGCGGAGGCCCCATAGCACGACGCCAAAGGTGAGCCAGGGAGACGCCCCACGCAGCCCCACAACCTCACAGAGCCAGGCCAAAACGATGCGCGAGCACGCGCACATGAAAAACCCTGGCAGCCCGCACTGTGGCGCGCCGCTCGCTCCGACGACCCAACAGACCACCTGCCTGGCGACACGCGCACCGAAGAGCGCACGCAAGGTTCCCGCCCAGCGCCGCCCAGGCGCACGCGCGCGGCCGGGAGCCTGCAGAGGCGAAGCACGCACGAGCAGAAACAGCACCAGCAGAGGAGACAGCACAAGCCTGGGGGGAGACGAGCCCCACTGCCGACAGCCAGCCTCTCATGCCGCGCCCGCCCCGCAGGGCTCGGACGGCGACGCTCCCGGTGCCGCCCCAAGCAGGACGGGGGGCCCCACGCCCTCGGCCGAGCCCCACCCCCCGCGCACGCACCGGGCGGGGCACCCGGGGCCGTGGGGAGAACGGGCGGGGATCCCCCCGATGAGCCGCCCGCTTGCGACCCGCGTCCCCGGCCCGAGCCCTGGCGGGGCAGCAGGCGGGCCGCAGCAGGAGGGGGGCGCAGCGTGGCGACGAGGATGCAGCTCTCTCTCCCCCTGGCCCCCTGCGGGCAAACAGGGGCGACGATCGGCCTGCAACCCGCTTCTCCTCCTTCCTGATCGTCCGCCCCCTCCATCTCTGCAAATACACAATCTGCAAAACCCGTAAAAGCCGAAGCCGTGCTGAGTGGCGCGCCACCCTTTCGCGCACTTCTTTACACACAATATTGGCACGAATCCCACCAGCCCTTTGGGCGTGAGTGGTTTAGAGAGCTCTCTCTGTCCTCAACCCCCCAACCCCCCTTCTTCCCCTTCGGGGAGGGGTTTACCCCTCCCCCTACCCCCTCCACCTGGACCTGGAGAGGGCGGGCCGAGCGTTGTCAGACCGGTCTTTCTCGACTCCTGGGAGGGCTAAAAAACGACACCCCTCACGAGGATTCTGCCCCCGACGGGGGGACGCACATAAAATCCTCTCCTCTTCTGTGAAGCCCAAATCATTGATTTTACTAAGGTTTCGGCCGCATTTTGGCCTTCTGAGGGGGCCGCGCTCCTCTTCCTTGTTCTCAAAATCGTTGATTTTACGAAGGTTCTGGGCTCATTTTGTCCTTCTCAGGGGGTAGCGTTCATTTGCGCTTCTGCGGAGGTCGCCAGAGGCCCCCAAGAGGCTCCAAGATGCCCCCAGGAGGCTCCCAAGAGGCCTCCAAGAGGCCCCCATGAGGCCCCCAAGAGGCCCCAAGAGGCCCCCAAGAGGCCCCCAAGAGGCCCCCAAGGGCCCCACGAGGCCCCCAAGAGGCCCCCAAGAGGCCCCCAAGAGGCCCCCAAGAGGCCCCCAAGAGGCTCCAAGAGGCCCCCAAGAGGCCCCACGAGGAGCCCGAACGACTCACACCAGGACGAGGGGCCCGAACGACTCACACCACGAAGAACCCGAACGACTCACACCACCAAGGAGGGGGTCCGAACGACTCACACAGGACGAGGCGCCCGAACGACTCACACCACGAGGAGCCCGAACGACTCACAGCACGACGCGGGCCCCGAACGACTCACACCACGAGGAGCCCGAACGAGTCACACCAGGAGGAGGGGCCCGAACGACTCACACCAGGATGAGGGGCCCGAACAACTCACACCACGAGAAGCCCGAACGACTCACACCAGGACGAAGAGCCCGAACGACTCACACCACGAAGAGCCCGAACGACTCACACCAGGAAGAAGGGCCCGAACGACTCACACCAGGACGAGAAACCCCAAACGACTCAAATCACGAGGAGCGCTTTCTCTCCCTCCTCCTCCGCCTCGTCCTTCTCCCGCTCCCCCCACAAGGAGGATTCACAAGGAGGCGGGAGGAAGGAGGAACAGGGGAGATATACGGAGCCCAGCGGACACACGCCTGAAAAACACAACTGCCGACATGCTTCGCGAGAGCTGCTGCTGTGAGATGGGCTGGTGGGGATACGCGAAGCGTAAAGAATTGGTGTTGTTTCTTACGTGCTGTTGTCAGTCCGAACGTCCTCGGCAATGTTCAAATGGCACTCCCGCTGCAGCGCTGACCGCAGTGTATGATCGGCGTGGTTGCTCCCGTCGTTCGCAATGGGGCCATGGCTCTGGATCCGAGTGTTTCCTCATCGTTGTCGCCCCGATCGTTTCCCCTCATCCGCCTTTCACTGGTCCTCCTGTTCCGCCCGCCCCTCCCACTCCAGCTCCTACTCCTGCTGCTGCTGCTGTTCGTTATCCTCCTCATCCTTCCTCCTCCTCCCTCCTCCCTTTCCTCCTCCTCCTCCTCCTCCTCCTCCTCATCATCATAATCAGCAGCAGCAGCATCATCAGCATCATCAGCATCATCATCATCATCATCAGCATCATCCTCTTCCTCCTCATCCTCCTCCTCATCATCATCATCGTCATCATCATCATCACCATCACCATCACCATCACCATCACCATCATCATCATCATCATCATCATCATCACGATCCTCATCATCCGCCTGCTCCTCCACATCTTCGTCCTGTTCATCCTCCTGCTCATCCGCCACGTCCGCCTCCAATCGACGCAGCTCTTCTTGTACCGACCAGGCTTGCTATGTCACGCGTCTGCGACTAGAGACAGATCAACGCAATGGGAATACGTGGGTGGGAGGGCAGGATATCAAAGATAGCACGAACACACCTACCTTGTCTCTCCTCCTCGATTGAAATCTATTAGTATATCCCCTGGTTCCGTGCGAAGATGTCCGCACACATGATTTCAACAGTTTGTATGTCCTGTGGTTGGTTACACTATGGTTGTTCCCCGTCCTTCAACATGCTGCTCCCGCTGCAGCGCTGGCCTCAGTTTAAGATCGGCGCGCTGCTCCAGTCACTCAGACTGGCGCTCTCACCACAGCGTGGGCCACTTTCTGGATCCGAGTGTTTCGCCTTCCCTTGGTCTTCCTGTTCCCCCTGCTCCTTCCACTCCTCGTCCTCCTGCTCCTGCCCCGCCCTCCGTTTCATCCTGCTCATCCTCCTGCTCATCGGGAACCTCCTCCTCCTCCCCATCGTCCTCCACCTCCTCCTCATCATCATCCTCGTCCTCCTCCTCCTCCTCCTCTTCCTCCTCCTCCTCCTCTTATGTACGCAGCTCCCCTCATCCGACTGCGCATAACACGATGGGGTATGGATTGGAGTTCCAGGTCCGCTGTGACACGCGTCTGCGGATAGAGAAAAGATCATCGCAATGGAAAGGGATGGGTGGGAGGGGTGGGATGTCAGATCTGGCGCGAGCCAACCTAGCGCGACTCTCCTCCTCCTCTTCTCTCTCTCTTTTCTCTCCCCTCCCCCCTCCACCACCCTTCATTTGCCCATCGTCCCTCCGTCGTCCCTCATCCCTCGTCCCTCATCCCTCCCTCCCTCGTCCATTCCCCGACCCTCCTGCTCATCCGCCTCCTCCCCCTTCTCCTTCCCTCCCCCTCCCCTGCCAGGCAGGAGGAGGAGACCATCCCTCCCCCTCGCGACGCTCGGAAGAGGGCCAGCTAAGACAACGGTGGCTCTCCCGCCAGGCCAAACCCGCAGAACATCGGACCCCGAACCAGACCCCTCTTGGTGTCCATGCTGGCCCGTTGGTCGAGGCAGACCCGGGCGGGGCGACGAGAAGCCTCGGGAAGACCCCAAACGAGGGCGAAAGACGCAAGGTAAGGCCGCCGCTATCTCGACATGCCCCCCTCCGACCTCCCCCGCCGCAGTATCGATGCTCGCTATTGCCGCCTCCCGCTCGGCGCACCAGGGCCACCACTACCGCTGCAGAGCTGTGCTCCCAATGCAGTGCAGAGCTGTGCTCACGCCATGAGCCTCCATCCGGCGGTACTGCAGGTGAGAAAACAAGTCCCCTTCCCCCAAAAGAGAGGCGCCCCCGCCGCCCCGCCGGCAACTCGCTCGGTGATGCGCGCGCTCGCCGCGCTCGTACTCCTCGCGTAGAGGTCCTGGCCAGCCAACCGCTGGGGGCTTCCCCCCTGCTGCTGAACCTTATCCCCCCACCCCCTCCCTCCCCCATTCCCTCTCTCCCCCCATTTCTTGCTCCTGCTCCTCCTGCTCCTCCTCCGCCTCCTCCTCCTCCTCCCTCCTGCTCCTCCTCCTCCACCTCCTCCTCCTCATCCTCCTCCCTCCTCCTCATTCTCCTCCTGAGCCTCCCGCCTCCTCCTCCTCCTCTCCTCTCCGCCTCCTCCTCCTCCGCCTCCTCCTCCTCTTCCTCCTCCTCCTCCTCCTCCTCCTCCTCCTCCTCCTCCTCCTCCTCCTGCTCCCCCTCCCAGTCGCACCCCGAAGCTGGTCGGAAGGGCGGGCTGGGCGTTTCGCCAGAGACTTCCTCCACACTGCTTGTGATCCTGAGGTCTGGAAACAGCAACCGCTTGATGGATGGGGGCGCCGCTTTCAAAATGTGGGCCTCGCTTCCAGCGCCGCGCACATATCGGACTCTGAAACAGCAAGAGCTCTACGCATGGAGGGCGGTCCGCGTTCAAAACGTGGCTCTCGCCTCGCCGCGCACGTTCGCCTTATGAAGTAGCTCTTGATAGGAAAACGACATGTCTATATATATATGTGTGTATACGACTGATAAACATAACCATAAGAATCATACTAATAATAGTACAAATATTACTCATAGTAATAATAATAATAATGATAATAATAATAGTCATAATAATACAAATGATAATAAAACGAGTAAGAAGAAGAAGAATCATAGTAATACGGAGACTAAATAATAATAATAATAATAATAATAATAAGCATAATGATAATAATGATAACAAGACTAACAACACTATCAGCAGCAGCAACAACAACAGTAGCAGCAGCAACAACAACAACAATAACAACAGCCACAACCACAACCAAAACAACAACCACAACAACCATAATAACAATAGCAATAACAATAACAATAACAATAATAATGACCATGACCTTAACAACAACATCAACAACCACAACAACAACAACAACAACAACAACAACAACAACAACAGCAGCAACAACAACAACAACAACAACAACAACAACAACAACAACAACAACAACAACAACAACAACAGCAGCAGCAGCAGCAGCAACAACAACAACAACAACAACAACAACAACAACAACAACAACAACAGCCAGCGTTGGTTCCACATAGATTAAACGACTCACATCAAGTCATCAGAGGAATCAAACATGCTTGGAATCCGCAACTCAGCAAGCAAGCGCGCAAGCAAGCAAGCAAGCACGCAAGCAAGCAAGCATTGGAAATAAAGGGGGGACCATTGGAAAAAGGGGGGGGAGGGGGGGGGCATTGGAAATAAGGGGGGGTGCCATTGGAAAAAGGGGGGGTCCGCTTTCCAGATACGCCTCTCGCCTCAACGCCAGGGCGAGCGGACGGCGGCCGCCATGAGGGCGGAACCCCTGCGCACTGCCCATGATGTCGACGCCTGCTGTGCCTGAACGACCGTCGCGCATAGCGGCCGCGCTCAGAGACCACCCCCGTCGCACCCCCTATGGTGTCGAGAAAGTGCCACGCCGGCGAGGCTTTGCGACAGGGTCGTGGATAGCGGCCGAGCTCGGAGACCACCCCCTGCGCACCCCCTCTGGCGTCGAGAAAGTGCCACGCCTGCTCGGCCCTCGGTGAGAGATCACCCCCTGCGCACCCCCTCTGGCGTCGAGAAAGTGCCACGCCTGCTCGGCCCTGCGGCATTGGCGCGTATAGACCGCGGTGAGAGACCACCCCTGGCGCACCCCCTCTGGTGTCGAGAAAGTGCCACGACTGCCAGGCCCTGCAACATTGGCGCGTAAAGAGACGGCGGTGAGAGACCACCCCCTGCGCACTCCCTGTGACGTCGAGAAAGTGCCACGACTGCCAGGCCCTGCGACACTGGCGCGTAAAGAGACCGCGGTGAGAGACCACCCCCTGCGCCCTCCCTCTGACGTCGAGAAAGAGCCACGCCTGCTAGGTCCTGCGACACTGGCGCGTATAGAGACCGCGGTGTGGAGACCACCCCTGGTGCACCCCCGAGGAGGAGGAGGAGGAGGAGGAGAAGAAGAAGAAGAAAAAGAAGAAGAAGAAGAAGAGGAAGAAGAAGAAGGATAACAAGAAGAAGAAGAAGAAGAAGGAACGCGGGTGCAACGCGGCAGGGAAGAAAACCATAACCCCACGAAACATGTGGAGAATAACAAGACGAAGCCAACACGAGGATAAATTCGGATGGAAATGAATCGAAAACCTCTGAGATCCAGCAGTTCTGGAGGATCTCTCGGGCGCCGCGGCCTTCTCAGAGAGTTCGAGAACGCTCTGAGAGCGTCCAGAACGCCCCAGAACGGATTTATCCTCGTCCTAGCCCCGCCCGAAATTAGCCCCCACCCCGAAGGCGATGACAATCTCAGGGATGTGACCTCAGAGACTGAGGGAAACCCTCAAGATCGGCACCGAGCTAAGGTGATGCCAATCATAAAGGTAGGGATCTGTTTCAAGCTGGTAGCCGAAGGCAGAGAGAAGGCGTCGTCGAGGGCCTTCAAGGGCCTTCGAGGAAGCTTCGAGGCGTCTTCGAGGGCCTTCGAGGGCCATCGAGGGCTTTCGAGAGCCTCCGCGGGGCCATCGAAGGGCCCCAGCCGGCGGCAGCGCAGCCTCCGCGGCGGGGTCCTGCAGCGGCTCCGGCTCCACTTCTCGTCGCTGCGAACACCCAGGCGCGTCGCCCGGCCCCTGGGGGCGCCGGGCGCCTCTCTCGCAGGCGGCGACGGCGACGGACGACGGACGACGGACGACGGACGACGGACGACGGACGACGGACGACGGACGACGGACGACGGACGACGACGACGACGACGACGACGACGACGACGACGACGACGACGACGACGACGACGACGGCGACGACGACGACGACGACGGCGGCGCGGCGGCGGCGGCGGCGGCGGCGGCGGCGACGGCCGGCGGCCGGCGGCGGCGGCGGCGCGCCGCGGCCGCGGCCGCCGGCGGCGGCGGGCGGCGGCGGCGGCTGATGGCGACGGCGACGGCGACGGCGACGGCGACGGCGACGGCGACGGCGACGGCGACGGCGACGGCGACCGGCGACGACGACGACGACGACGACGACGGACGACGACGACGACGACGACGACGACGACGACGACGACGACGACGACGACGGCGGCGGCGGCGGGCGGCGGCGGCGGCGGCGGCGGCGACGGCGACGGCGACGCGACGGCGACGGCGACGACGACCGACGACGATACGACGGACGACGACGACGACGACACGACGACGACCGACCGACGACGACGGACGACGCGGCGGCGGCGGCGGCCGGCGGCGGCGGGCCGCGGCGGCGGCGACGGCGCCTGCGACGGCGACGGCGACGGCCGGCGACGGCACGACGGCGACGGCGAGACGCGCGGCGGCGGCGTAGCAGCAGCGACAACGCCGCCGCCGACGGCGGCAACCTCCGCCTCCTCCTCCTCCTCCTCCTCCTCCTCCTCCTCCTCCTCCTCCTCCTCCTCCTCCTCCTCCTCCTCCTCCTCCTCCTCCTCCTCCCCTTCCAAGCGTTGCAGAGCCTGGGCCCAAGCTTGCGTGGTCACAGTGCCAGAGTGGTGTGCCTGCCACTGGGTGCACGAACTTGTCGAACTATACCTTGATCCTCCTCGACGTCTTCTGGTTGAAGGCCCTTCGTCAACGAGAGCCTCAATCTAGTTTTCCCATGACCAGATCTGACCCGAACTCTTCTGCCCCGAACTCTTCTGCGTGTCAGGTGCCAGCCATCGTCGGGTTCCGCCTCTCCTTCACGAACTCGCGCATCTGGCAGTGCAGGCTCCCAGGCGTTGGAGCCAAGAGCTCGTGAGGGTCGGCAAGGCGACGAGCAGACCAAAGGCGGGTGGAGCAACACCGATGCCGCTTGCGCCGCCATGTGCGTGACGACCGATGCCACCGCCGGGCGCGGAGACCAGGCGGGCACGGCAACAACCCAGACGTCCGAAGTCTTGCTCGCTTCCTCTCTCCACGTGGGGCCCCCGGAAGAGTCGGCCCTCTCTCCACGGCCAGCTCCTCAACCCGAGCCGTTTCTCGAGGGTCCCGGGGCCCAGCGAGGGTCCTCCTAAGGGCCGAAAGCGGCCGCATCGCCTCCCGTCGTGCGTCTGCTTTTACGACGTGGGCATGTCTGGGGAGGAGGAGGAGGAGGAGGAGGAGGAGCTTTTACGACGTGAGCATGTCTGGGGAGGAGGAGAAGGAGGAGGAGGAGGAGGAGGATGGAGGATGCAGGATGGGTAGGACGAAGAGGGGAACCAGGGCAGGAGGACGGAGGAAGACGCGGCGGAGGACGACGACGACGACTCTGCCCGGGGCCGCGGCCCAGTGGCCGCTGCGCGAGGAGCCCTGCGGCGGCGGTCCTCGAGGTCGCTGTGCTGCGAATGGTCCGCCCGCTCGGGCAGCTCGCTGCCGCTCTGGTCGGCCGTGCTGCCTGGCGCGGCGTCTGGCCGCGCGGCGCCCCCGCTCCCGCCGCTCCTGCTCCGGGGACACTCTCCTCCGAATCCTCCCTGCTCCTCCCTCCCTCCCATTCCTCCCCCTTCCCTCTAATTCCTCCCCCTTCCTCCTCCTCCTCCTTTCTCCTCCTCTCCCCTCCTCCTCCTCCTCCTCTCCTCTCTCCTCCTCCTCTCCTCCTCTTCTCCTCCTCCTCCTTCTTCCTCCCCCTCCTCCTCCTCCTCCTCTTATTTTCTTCTTCTTCTTCTTCTCCTCTTCCTCCTCCTCCTCCTACATAATCACACATCATCATCATCATCATCATCATCATCATCATCATCGTCATCATCATATCATCATCAGCAGCAGCATCATCATCATCATCATCATCATCATCATCATCATCATCATCATCATCATCATCATCAGCAGCAGCAGCAGCATCATCAGCAGCAGCATCATCATCATCATCATCATCATCATCATCATCATCATCATCAGCATCATCATCATCAGCATCAGCATCAGCATCAGCATGAGCATCAGCATCACATTCACCATCACCATCATCATCATCATCATCATCGTCATCATCATCATCACCACTACCACCACCATCATCATCATCATCATCAGCATCATCATCATCATCATCATCATCATCATCATCATCATCAACATCATCATCATCATCATCATCACCATCACCATCACCATCATCATTACCAGCAGCATCATCATCATAGTCATCATCGTCATCATCATCACCGTCATCATCGTCATCATCAGCATCAGCATCATCATCATCGTCATCATCATCATCATTAGCAGCATCCTCACAAGCATCGTCATCATAAGTATCATCAGCATCATTATCATCATCAACATCATCATCATCATCAGCGTCATCATCATCATTAGTATCATCAGCATCGTCATCATCATCATCGTCGTCATCATCATCAGCAACAGCATTATCCTCATCATAAACATCGACATCGTCATCAACAACAAAAACAAGATCGCCGTTGTCCTCGTCATCGTCATAGTGACCATCATGATCACCATCACCATCAGCAATGTCATCATCAGCATCAACATCATCACAATCATCATCTTACTCGTCCTCATCCCCATCGCCATCCTCACAATCATAACCATCATCATCAGTATCATCGTCACACTCATCAGCATCATCATCAACCTCATCATCATCATCATCGTCCTCATCACCACCGTCATCGTCATAATCGCAATCACCATCATCATGTCACCATCAGCATCATCATCATCATCATCGGCATCACCTTCATCATCATTACCATCATCGTCATCATCATCATCCCCACCAGCACCACCATCAGCACGACCACCACCAGCATCGCAGCATCGTCATCATCAGCATCACCATCACCAGCAGCAGCAACAGCATCATCATCACCACCACCACCAGCAGCATCCTCATCTTCATCAGCATCGTCGCCGCCATCAACGAGCATCGTCGTCGTCATCTTCATCGTCATCATCAGCATCATCATCACCAAAAACATCAACATCATCACCAACATCATCAGCATCATCATCATGTCCGTCATCGTCATCGTCATCATCGTCATCGTCCTCATTATAAGCATCATCTCAACGACAAAAGCAAGATCGCCATTGTCGTCGTCATCGTGACTATCATCATCACCATCAGCATCGTCGTCATCATCAGCAGCAGCATCGTCAACAGCATCAGAATCATCATCGTCATCGTCATGCTCATCGTCCTCGTCACCAATGTCATCCTCATAATCAGAATCAGCATCATCATCACTATCGTCACCTTCATCAGCATTATCATCATCATCATCATCATCATCATCATCATCATCATCATCATCATCATCATCATCATCAAAAGCATCCTCATCCCCACCAGCACCACCATCAACGCGACCACCACCAGCATCACATCAGCATCAGCAACATTATCACCATCGGCATTAACATCTTCATCAGCACTGTCATCGCAATCAACGAGCATCGTCGTCCTTATGGTCATCGTCATCGTCACCATCATCATCACCATCATCATCATCATCATCATCATCATCATCATCATCTTTATTTTTTGAGTGTACCCTAGCGCTCCCGACCAACATGCAAGTTACTGAGATGCACGGTTGTTCGTGCCGACCCTGACGGCCAATGAACCTCAGCCAGCCCTTCCCACCTCGCTGCCCCCCCCGCACGCTAACCTCCCTCCCCCAGAGCAGCGCCTGGGGAAGACGGAAGAAGAGGGGGACGATGGCGACACCACAAGATTGCACTTGCACTCTGTGATGACAGGGTGTGGTGTCGGGTGCGCCGAGGGAAGAGGGTCAAGCAGGGGGGGGTTAGCGCATCATGGCCTCAGGCATGTGCACGGACGAGTGGTGGCCAGAAGACGCATTGAAAGAAAAACAGGAAGCCATGAAATCGGGAAAACGTCGTTGCCATGGCCATGATACTAGAGGCCTCCTAGATAGGGTCGGAGTAGATGGGGTGGGAGGATCGAGCCGCATCGCCGATACACCGGCGATGCATCGGCGATGCACTGGCGATACATCGTCGGCGTGGGCGATGCATCGGCGACGCCGGCATGGAGGAAATCGGGCTCCGCACCGAGCCGCATCGCCGATGCATCGGCGATGCGGCGCGATCCTCCGACGCCATCTTTGCCGACCCAATCTAAGGAGGCCTAGAGATGCTCCCAACGAGCCCGAGACGGTGCGCCGCGTCTGCCCGCGGCGCGCGGCCCCGGCGCCGCGGCCACCCGGCCGCGGGACACCCTGGTCGGACGCCGGCCTCCGGAGAGCCGCTGACGGCCACAGGGAGCACCGCGCCTTGGCGCCCGCCTTGCAGACGTGCTGCAGCGGATTCCTGCAAGGATTCCTGCGTGGATGTTTGCCCGAAGCAGCGAGCGAAGACCGAGGCGAATGTCGCGTGGGTTCTGTTTGGTCTTCATCCCTGCCCAGAGAAGAATCCGCGCGAAATTCACCTCGAAATCCGGAACGAACTTCTCCGGGGCACCCCAGGCCCACCCTGTCGTTTTCCGAACGAGATCCGCTCTGCGATGCTAGCGCCATGATAGCTCTGCAAGGAAGCTGGGCAAAGTGGAAGCTGGAAGTTCCGCGAAAGGCGAGAAGTGGCCCGCCTCTGGTGGCCGCGGCCGGACAGAAGCAGGCAGGGGCACGAAGGCGAGAACGAGGCAACTGGGACGAGGTCGCCGGGGCTTGAAAAAATGGACGGCGCTGCCCCCAGCCACTTTTCCCAGCTTCCTGCAGCCCGCAGCCAGCCCAAGCAATGTGGTGAAGCCACGAGTCTCTCCGACAAGAACGAAGCGGGAGAGGAAGCCAATCGAGAGTGCACGAGCTCACCCGCCCAGCGCACCCCGCTCGGGACAACTGGTGACGCCCTGGACCCCTTTTGCGCGGCGTGATGTCGGCCCCCGGAGTTCTCGACATCCATCCCCAGGGCTGCAACAGGCGATCCGTTGACGACGAGCTCGGGTGTCAAGATTTTCGGGAGCTTCTGCGAAGCTTCGGGGCATTCGTGGGGCAACTTTTCTATAAAACACGGAGTCCCTCGACAACGAAGTCAAGAGCTCGAGTGCTTCGGGGGGGCGTTCTTAGTCCCTCTGGGGCTTTCTAGGGGGAATGCGGGCTGTGTGGGGAACGTTTGGACCCGTGGGCTCTTGGAGCAAGATTGGGCGCCTCTTAGGCCGCCCTGGAGTGTGGAAAACCAGAAGAAACGAGAATGCCGAAAGTAAGGATAGCAAAAAGACATGCATCAATTTTGTCTCGTGGGACCTTGTGGGAGTCCTCTCGGAGCAGCCGTCTGGGGGCATTTTCGGAACCTGCTCGGCCGTTTTGAGACCATCTTGAGCGTTTTGGAGCGCTCTTGGGCCGCGTCGGAGCCTTCTTGGACTGTTTTGGGGACTTCTTCGGACCGCCGCTGGCCCCTTTGCACGGCTCGGCCTTGCTTTGGAGAATGCTTGAGGGAGGGGTCGGGGCCCTCTGGGGGGTCGTGGGCCCTCTAGGGGCTGTCCCGGGGGGCATCTGCGGCGGTCTTGGGGCCCTCTTGGGCCGTCGAGGGGCCCTCCGGGGGGCTTCTTGGGTCGTCCTGCAACAATCTTGAAAGCCTCCCGGGCCGTCCCGGAGCGCCGCAAGCCCGAACAGGCGAGAACGCCGAGAAGCCTCAGAAGCCCTGACCATTGAGTTTCGCATACCAGGGCCTCCTAGATGGGGTCCGAGTAGATGGGGATCGCGCTGCATCGCCGATGCGTCGGCGATGCATCGGTGATGCATCGGCGATGCACCGGCGATGCATCGTCGACGTGGGCGATGCATCGGCGACGTCGACGGGAAGCAAATCGGGCTCCACATCGAGCCGCATCGCCGATGCATCGTCGATGCGGCACGATCCTCCGACCACATCTACTCTGACCCCCCTCCTCCTCCTCCCTCCTCCTCCTCCTCCTCCCTCCTCCTCCTCCTTCTCCTCCTCCTCCTCCTCCTCCTCCTCCACCTCCTCCTCCTCCATCTGGGAGGCCTAGAGCACATCAGGGCCTCCTCGAGGGTCCTCGCGGGACCTCTCCTGGGACGTCTTGGGGGGCCCGGCGGGCAGCCTCTGCGAGAGCGGCGCCCGCGCACCGCACCGTGCCCGGACCCCCTTCCGGCCCTGCTCCGACGCGGCACGGTGCACGCTTTTTGCTCTGCCCCAGGAGCCCGAAAACCGTGCACCGCACGGTCGGACTCGATCGGACAGGACACGCGAGAGGACGCCAGACCCTCCCGAGGGCCACGTTGCCACAGGAACGTGGGAAGCATGGGTCGCGAGACTTTTTTGGTCTGCGGGTCGGGAGCGGGCCCCTCCCGGTCAAGAGCTAAACGGGACGCGGATAGCCCTAATTGGGGAGACAGGGCGCGGGCGGGCGGGGCCTCAGGCGGCCGGAGGGCTCAGAAAACAGGCGGT